TATCTGGTATCGTAAGGATTATACGAACGACCGTGCAGAAAATTGTAACTATCCAAACCACCGCACATTTCCGGAGTATTGGTGACGCATAGCAGTATTGCGCCAGCATCTCGCAGCATCTTAACAGCAAAACTATCGGTGGTTGCTTTCCTTCCTTTGTAAGCTAAAGTGCAACCCGTATGACTAAGACCTGTTAATGTCATCACATGTTACAAAGAATTTACGCTGTTACCTTTCACGCACACACAAATCTTTGTATTGTTCAGTTTAATTTTATTTTATAATTTACATTGAAACATTACTGTTTCTGNACGGTCGCGTTCGATATGTTTATTACGGAAACAATACTGGCATTATCGTGAAGAGAAAAAAATAAAATTTAAGAAAATAAACAGTAATATAAGAAATAAAGAAATTATTAGGTACCTTTAACAGGTATACTTTCTTTCACAGTGAACGGTATACCGAAGAGCGGTTTTTGTTTTTTTAATTTTTCGATATCCACATTGCCGGCTTCCAACAATCTATCACAATTTTTCGCCTCAGCTAAAGCGATCTTGTATCGGTCTTCGACGACGGCATTTAAGTAAGGATTCACCTCCTTGATTCGTTCGATATATGCGCGTACCACTTCGTAGCTCGTGCACTAAATTTGTTTAAATAATAAATGTCTATAAATCTTATGATTTACATTTTCATTATTTACAATTTATTTATTATTATATCTCATTACTTATAATTTATTTAATAGTCCAAAGTACTATTGTAATGTAATGTATAATGAATAAAATCTAAATCACTTAGCAATAAGTTATCTTAAATATTTAAAATAATAATAAGAAAAAGAGTCGTCGTTATAGCAATTTTATATATGGAATTACATGTTGATCCCTGATCTTTTGAGCAAGCTCAGTAGCACTTATCGTTAGCAAAGTATCTTTTAGTGGCGGTATGCTAACTGGCTTCCTATAGCGGATAAAGGAAAATATCCAATCCAATGTTAAATATATAACGTTAATGACGATGATCCATATACGTAATAAGTAGAACATCTACAAAATAAAAATCATTTATGTGATGTATCACCCGCCTCATGTTGATCGACATTGGCAACTGCATTAGTTGGGAATGTTTATTTCCTCGTGAGACGTGATTAAAAAAAATGGAAATAACGTATAAAATTTACACGAGAAAAGTATTCAATATTTTAGAATGGGAATCTAATTATTACATTAACTAACTACACTATACAAAGTTTCATTAATTAATTAATTCGCTGTGTATTTATAAATAAATTTATGTAAAAGAGCACAATTGTTTACGGTTAACGGGAACAAGAAGTTTTTAGAAATTTACTTTAGTAGAGTAAATGCAGCCGATCTACTCCAGTTGATGTAATGTTTATAACTGATGCAGTAGACTTATGCTATTTATGTATCCACCTCTGCTGGCTTTTTATGTTCTAATGCTTCTAACATTATTTGAATATTTATAATCTTGCACTGTGGGAACAAGTATAATTTAATATATATATGGCTATAAATCTGCCACAGTATTCTGTTCAAATCTCCTGCTAATCTACAGATATAATGCAAATATTTTGTTTATTGGAATAATAACATAATAAGGTGCAAAAAAAATATGAGTATGGTGAGCAGAAGATGACAAACTTTACTTATTAAAAATATATTTAAATATTAAATACAGTTAAAGATAATTAGTCGATTGTTATCTATTCACGTGTATAATCTGTAGC